TCCCACACATGTGAGGTATCACCGCAAACATCAGTTCATGGTCAGTAATTCTAGCACCAGATCTCCTCTTCAAATCTAAAGTGGTAACCTGTAAAGGCTTTTAAAGCGTCGCCTATGGATAGTAACTAGGGATGCATGGATATCAGTATCAGTGCCGATACCGAGTATTTTCATGAGTACTCCTTGTGAAAATACTCCCAGTACCTTAACCAATACTTTGTGGTGTGATTTGCTTTAATGGATGCAAATTACACCGCAGAGATTAGCCGGTTATACCGCACGTAGACACAGGAGCGGTGCAGGAAACCTCCCCGCATTCATCCCATGCTGAGTGTCAGTGGTAGGAGAGGAGAGAAAGTGGTGGGGATTTCAAATCTTTCGCCTCCTTGCAGCGATGACAGTTCGGGCCAGACAGCATCTGATTGGTCAGCACCAGCCAATTTTTATTTTTTCTGATTTTTCCAATATTTCTCTAGGAGTCACAAACTCCACCTTCTGAGCTCTTTCTGACCTCTGTGTGCAGTCAAAACCCCAAACAAACCTACAATATTCACCAACAGTGCGTGAAATACGACACTATCAGAGCTGCAGACAGGAGAGGATGCCAATGACATGTATCAATCATTCTCTCTCTCTTGCTGGCAGATGATGCAAGCTTTTCCAGTCGTCCTGATAACTTTCAGCTGGTATGGAAGGGGGGGGGGGGGGCAATGAATGGGATCTTAATCCAGAGGGGGGTGCAGCATATTACACTTGGGGCTCAGCAGGAGTGTAGTGATGTCCCTAGATGCGAACAACTGCTACTGCCAGAGAGGGGGGGGAGGGGTGAGCGCTCAGATATTCATTTTTTTAATGCTAGTTTTAACCCATTCACTGACAGACAAGTTTTTTAAAAAAATTAAATCTCCCCCACAGCACTATATTAGAAGGTCGATTTTACATTGTTCTCCCGCCCCGCCCCTAATTATTCTGCCCCAGCCACTCCCGCATACTGTCCCTGGCTCCACCTCCTGCACACGCTCATAGAGCCTTAGTTAAAATGGAGGACCGCCCACAAGTCCTGGTCTAAGTGGGCAGCAGTAATTGGTTGCTGGGAATGCTAACGTCCCTAGCAACCAATGATGTCACATGTGCCACACCCACTGCAACACATTTGTCCTCCCAGCTCCTGCAAGCCAGGCTACAGGGAGTTCTCCTACAGGTACCCAGAGCACTCTGATAGGTGCAATGGATCTATAATGTACCCTGATGGGGGCGACTGATCTATAATGTACCCTGATGGGGGCTGATCTATACTGTATCCTGATGGGGGGGGCGACTGATCTATAATGTACCCTGATGGGGGCGACTGATCTATAATGTACCCTGATGGGGGGCGACTGATCTATAATGTACCCTGATGGGGGCGACTGATCTATATTGTACCCTGATGGGGGCGACTGATCTATATTGTACCCTGATGGAGCAACTGATCTATATAATGTACCCTGATGGGGGCGACTGATCTATAATGTACCCTGATGGGGGCGACTGATCTATAATGTACCTGATGGGGGCGACTGATCTATAACGTACCCTGATGGGGGGTAACTGATCTATAACGTACCCTGATGGGGGCGCGCCTGATCTATAACGTACCCTGATGGGGGCAACTGATCTATAACGTACCCTGATGGGGGCGACTGATCTATAACGTACCCTGATGGGGGGACTGATCGACTGATCTATAACGTACCCTGATGTACCCTGGGGCGACTGATCTATAACGTACCCTGATGGGGGCGACTGATCTATAACGTACCCTGATGGGGGCGACTGATCTATAACGTACCCTGATGGGGGCGACTGATCTATAACGTACCCTGATGGGGGCGACTGATCTATAACGTACCCTGATGGGGGCGACTGATCTATAACGTACCCTGATGGGGGCGACTGATCTATAACGTACCCTGATGGGGGCGACTGATCTATAACGTACCCTGATGGGGGCGACTGATCTATAACGTACCCTGATGGGGGCGACTGATCTATAACGTACCCTGATGGGGGCGACTGATCTATAACGTACCCTGATGGGGGCGACTGATCTATAACGTACCCTGATGGGGGCGACTGATCTAAATTGTACTTTGTAGTGTACATGACCACAACTAATGTGCGGTAATCATTCCAACCAAACAGAAGTGTGGAAGAAAAGGAGAGGTTTGGGAGCTTACAGAGGAGTTCTAAAAACACCCTAAGAAATCATGTCATGTAAAATAGATTACAGGGCCCATAGGTAGTGGATGTGTTTGGATTATTATTGGAGAATAAGGATGTAGCTTTGTGTCACTTGATATCTGGCGATGTCTTGGCAGCCCCCCAGCCAGGGAGGGGTTTTTACATTCAGCTAAATTTACATACTTGCTGAAATTACACCATTTCATTCTTTGGAATGCTAAATATAATGGCGGCCATTCGCACTTCCTTTTTATTATTGATCGATGTGTGCTTCCAATACAATGTTGGAGATATAGGGTGGGAAGCTCCAGGAGAGAGGTGTCTGTTACATGGAGGATTAGATCCAATGCCATATTACATGAAATATTCTTTGTGTTTTTATTAATTGTATGATATGTATAACCCCTTCCAGACCAGCCTTTTTGTTTACTGTTTGTAACGATCTGTGTTTTTTTCCTAAAAATGTCTTGGAACCCCGAAGCATTATATATTTTTTTAAAGCAGAGTCCCTAGAGAATAAATTGGTGGGTTTTTCAATTTTTTTATGTCACATAGTATTTGCGCAGCAGTTTGTAAGTGCGATTTAACTTATTTATTACAGGTACAGGGATAGCACGATCAATTTACACATATATATTGTACAGTCACATCAGTCGCTAACCCTCAAGAAGCGTACAATCTAAGGACTCCAAATTCATACACATACTAGGGCCAATTTTAGACAGGATCCAATTAACCTACCAACTTGTCTTTGGCATGTGGGAGGACCCACGTAGGCACAGGGAGAACATGCAAACTCCAGGCAGGTTGTGCCATGGTTGAGATTCGAGCCGATGAACCTAGGCGGAAGTGCTAACCACTTAGCCAGTGTGCTGCCCAGCTGTCATAGCTACAGTTGCCATCGTGTCCCTTTTTTGTTGCAAAGATTTCCATTTTAAACTTTTTGACTGGAAATAAAACGAGGACCTAGCATTCAATTCTAGGCCTGCTAAGTAATGTCAATGCAAACACTTCCAGGCATTTATTATCTCCTACAGAAGGGGTGCTCAACTTTGGCTCTCGGAGCCAGGGAAGGGCATGCCCAGGGTCGGCAACCCATTGATCACAATCTAGGCTTGCTGACCCACCATCCCAGAGCATCAGAGTGCATTGAACTGACAGCAGAGGGACCAGGAGCCAAACGAGTCGAAGCTTCCTCTGTAACGCCGGCTCCTATCCCAGGCGGAGTGATACCAACTGCACTTCACCTGGGACCTTTCTAGTAGCCTGGAGAGCAATGCCAGCAGAAGCTGGAAGAGGAAAAGAAGGTCGGGGTATTAAACATCACATCAACTGCGCTTTTGCATTGAGCATATTGGCACCTATAAAAGGGTTAACAACTAGTAGTCTAGTTTCACACCGCAGCAGATCAGGGTGAAAGCAGCCTTATAGGGGGCTCAGGACAGAAAGGGCTTGTTTACATTTTCAGTTTTTTGGGGGCATTAATGCCCCATAGATGAGACTGGAGTAGCGTCAGGATACGCAATGCCCACGATTCCAAATCGCCTTATGTCAACAGCCTAATTGTAGGCATTGATTGCTAGGTTACAATGTTGCAATTGAAAAGAAAACGTCTGCACATGATTGATTATTTATTCCCTAAATCTGAAATTATTTGAGTGTTAGGTTTTTTTTTTTTTTTTTTTTTTTATAGTACACACTCCCTTTAACCTCCCTGGCGGTATTCCCCAGTGTAGCTCGGGGTAAAGTTTCAGCACCACAAGCGGTAACCCCGAGCTACACTCGGAAATACCCTGCAGCGCTGCTCCGGGTTCCCTTCTGCACTTACCTTGTCCTTCGCTCCCGCAATGTTCATCCTGCAGCGTCTCCTGTAATGTCCTCAGGCCGATGCCGGCAGCTGTCATCTGGGTTCCGTCGCCTGCGATGTCGGGACGTAACGGTGGGAAATTTAAAAATTTTAAAAGTGACATTCACAAAAATCACATAGTAAAACATTCCTGTATCAAACCATTTCACATACATTTTGTCCCGAGTGCTTTGTCCTGTGCCCTGCCAGCATTTTTACCGTTCTTTCTGCTTGGAAACTGAGAAATGTCCATGGCGTCCAAAAAGCGTCCCTTTAGGTCAAAAGCGGTTTTATAACAACTAGAGAACAGCGATAGTAAATTAGAACCACTTGCAGAATTGAGTGATAATGATTCGTGGGGAAATTCGTCATCAGACACTGAAAACGATTTTGCGACTTTGCGCAGTGATGTGCGAGCTTGGCGCTATATTTCAAATTTCAGTGTTTTTGGTTTGATTATATTATTGAATTAAAGTTGTTGTTATATTATTTTTTACGATTATTAAGTTATAATTTATGATTTCAAATTTTAACATACCCGGGATGTTTAATAGACTCTTGATCGGACAGATTTCAGTGAGTTATTCCTAAAATTTACAGGCCTACAATAAAAAAATGACATATTTCCATGCAAAAAAGTACCGCTTTGCGCACAGAAATATGGACATAATCAGACCGCTAGGGAGGTTAAAAATAGTGTTTTCAGTCATTATTCAAATTCTCCCTTAGTGGCTGTATCAGAGTAGACTACACTAACCTGACAGCAGGTTGATACAGTGGAATGATGATAAATGATTAGCCTTCTGTTAAATGTGGGTTTTTGTTTGTGGTTTTTTGTTTTTGTCTGAAGTCTCTACTTGCATGTGACTGTACTGCCACTTGGAGGACATTTTTGGTGTTCGCTCCAACATGTATGTATTTCTATCTGTAGGCTCTGCCAGCCTGCCCTATCCAAGCTACATGTGAAGCAGCGTCAAAGGAAGAGAACAAAGAAAAGAACAGATACGTCAACATACTGCCCTGTAAGTGCTCATCCACATTGTGTACCGTCATTTCTGGAAGAAAAACCCACCACCTGACAAATATTTACATGCAAACTTTATTTTATAAATAGTCTGCTTTATTCAATATTTTTCTTTCCATTCATTTTTATTGGTAATTTTTCAAAAAAGTAAAAGCTCAAATAAAGGCTCAACAGTAAAAGATCTTCCGATCTATGTAGTACAAATAAACATAGGCAGAATGATTATAAAGTACATACAATATTCTTTTTAGGTGCAATAATTAATTGCAACCAATCAGAATCCACCTTCTGCTGGTCTGACCCTGGCAGACTGAATGCTGATTGGTTGTTGAGGATCATTGCGCATAAGAGCTCTTTATGTAATAATGCCGAATATGCTTGTTTTCTTTTGATGTAGAAGAGGCATAACAATCGGGTACAGTGTATGCAGTGCTTTTCTTGATTCAAGAATCCCTGACACCGAGATCCAACATACCTTTTGATTACCGATTTGATTTGTTGGCCTGAAGTAAACCTGTACCTGTTCTGTGGATCTTTTGCCACTTCATTTCCTCATTTACAGCTTCACACTACTATATAGACCAGGGGACTGCAACCTTTCCCAACAAAGAGCCAGATTACTGTCCTTCAGACTTCACGGGGGCTAGATTTTGCCTAGTGGGAGTAGAAAAAGCCCCAATGTAGGTGGATGTAACCAATGCCCATCATTGATATTAATGGGAGGAATTGTACCCCGTCATTGGTATCAATTGGAGGAATTTTTTCTCCCATCGCTGGTGTCTGAGAGGAAGAATGCCAAATTTTTTAGTGTCAGTTTTAGGAATAGTGCCTTACATCAGTGGGAGAAATAGTGCCCCGTGTTAGTGGGGGGGAATGTTGCCCCATCATTGGTGTCAGTGGGGGGAATGTTGCCCCATCATTGGTGTCAGTGGGGGGAATGGTGCCCCATCATTGCTGTCAGTGGGGGGAATGGTGCCCCATCATTGCTGTCAGTGGGGGGAATGGTGCCCCATCATTGCTGTCAGTGGGGGGAATGGTGCCCCATCATTGCTGTCAGTGGGGGGAATGGTGCCCCATCATTGCTGTCAGTGGGGGGAATGGTGCCCCATCATTGCTGTCAGTGGGGGGAATGGTGCCCCATCATTGGTGTCAGTGGGGGGAATAGTGCCCCATCATTGGTGTCAGTGGGGGGAATAGTGCCCCATCATTGGTGTCAGTGGGGGGAATAGTGCCTCAGCATTGGTGTCAGTGGGGGGAATAGTGCCCCAGCATTGGTGTCAGTGGGGGGGGGGAATAGGGCTCCATCATTGGTGTCAGTGGGAGGAATAGTCCCCATCATTGGTGTCAGTGGGAGGAATAGTCCCCATCATTGGTGTCAGTGGGAGGAATAGTCCCCATCATTGGTTTCAGTGGGAGGAATAGTGCCCCATCATTGGTGTCAGTGGGGGGGGGGGTATAGTGCCCCATCATTGGTGTCAGTGGGGGGGGGGGGGGTATAGTGCCCCATCATTGGTGTCAGTGGGGGGAATAGTGCCCCATCATTGGTGTCAGTTGGGGGGGGGGGGGGGGGGAATAGTGCCCCATCGGTGTCAGTGGGTGGGGAATATTGCGCCATACGGGAGGAGGAGTGCCAAGCAGCTACTGTCCTTTTGAGGAATAGTACCTCATATCAAATAAAGGCATGGAAAGGGCCACATTCTACTCATGGACCACAGCATGAAGACCACTGATGTAGACAGATAAGAACATTAGATTCCAGCATACCATGGATTTATCATCACTGGGCCAAACATTTAATAAAGGGATCACAAGTGTGCAACATTGAGGCCTTGCAGGACCTCTTTCCTAGACATGTTTACAATACCTGATGAAGAGATCCTGCGTGGCCTTGCAATGTTGCACTGACACTTAGCAATCTGATCTTTTCAATAAATGATTGGGCAATTGATTACAGATCCATGGAGTTTTGCCCACATATGTTCTTATGTACTGATAACAGCTGACATTCTGGCAGTTGCTACAGCGCACACTCCTTACAGACCTTGTCTACTTGTCTAGGAATGTGTGTGATGGGAATATACACTCACCGGCCACTTTATTAGGTACATCTGTTCCATTGCTTGGTTACTCAAACTGCTAATCAGCCAATCATTGGCAGCAACTTAATTCATTTAGGCATCTAGACGTGGTGAAGAAGACTTGCTGAAGTTTAAATCCAGAATCAGAATGGGGAAGAAAGGGGATATAGGGGACTTTGATTGTGGCATGGTTGTTGGTGCCAGACGGGCTGGTCTGAGTATTTCAAAAACTGCTGATCTACTGGAATTTTCACGCACAACAATCTCTAGGGTTTACAGAGAATGGTTTGAAACAGAGAAAATATCCAGTGAGCTGCAGTTGTGTGGATGGAAATGCCATGTTGATGTCAGAGGCAAATGGGCAGACTGGTTGCTGCGACATTCAGATGGTATGGTCAAAATTTGAAATATGAAACATGAATCCAGCCTGCCTTGTATCAATGGTTCAGGGTGCTGGTGGTGGTGTAATGGTGTGGTGGATCCATCCTGCCTTGTATCAATGGTTCAGGGTGGTGGTGGCGGTGATGTCATGGTGTGGTGGATCCATCCTGCCTTGTATCAATGGCTCAGGGTGCTGGTGGTGGTGTAATGGTGTGGTGGATCCATCCTGCCTTGTATCAATGGTTCAGGGTGGTGGTGTAATGGTGTGGGGGGTATTTTTCTGGCACTAGCAAGGTGTACCTAATAAAGTGGCCGATGAGTGTATTGTATGCTGCTATATGATCTCACCCGATCTAATCGGCGAGTGATAAACTGGTGTAGATTCCTTATCTTGTTTGGTTCAGGCAGCACTGGTATTGTAAGTGCTCTCATTGTGCCAGATCCCTGGTAAGGAATATACTACTTCTGCAAAATGTAGTGTACTCCATATTGTAGGGAAGTGATGAAATTCTACTCTTGTGCTTCCACCAAACAAATCAATATTGTCCATTGGTTCCCTCATTTGTGGTGTGGAGGCCAGTTGAAGGACAGAGGTAGATCATGCCATAAGAATCTCTGTTGCAGAAGTGATCCGTTAAGGAGTTCAAAGGACCTCATTACCTGCTGACTTCAAGGGGTGCAGAGTGAGGGAATTCATCTGCATTGCAGGTATTGGGGTATCTACAAAATATATGTTGCGCTCCTAAATACTTCTCAATGAATACTAATTAAATTATTACCATTAAATTAATTCAAATTATGATACAAATAACTAATAAAAGTGTATAAATACCAAAAAATATTTAAATAGATAATTTCAACTAATCAATCTCCTCCAAATAAATATCAAAATAATTCCACATGAAATACTCCTCTAAAAAAATATTTTACCAAGTGCTCATAAATCATCTATTAGTGACATGATGTACTTACTAATACCCTCAATTTCATTTATATTCATAATACCCTCATTTAATATAATAAAAATAGTAATCCAACTAATAACACTCAACTAAAACACATTTAAATGATCCCCCATAAATAAAGATAACCAAATGCACATAAATAATTAGTTAATAAAAAAAGGTATTGGGGTACCTATAATTTTCCCAGTCAAGTCTCCATTATAGCAGATCGTTTTGCTTATTGCTAATCCCAGCTTTATTGTGTTAAGCAGACACTTTCTATAGTCATACAATGTCATTTTAGATCACAGCTGCAAATTTCTAACTGCTTCTGACTTTTCTACGTTTTGCAGATGACCATTCCAGAGTTCACCTGTCACCCATAGAGGGAGTGCCTGACTCAGACTACATTAATGCCTCTTTTATCAATGTGAGTGTTTTTACATCATCATCATTTAAAGTGATTTTCATAGACACTGACTTGAAACAAGCATGTATTCAGTGAATTAAGTGTTCCTGATCTGCATACTTGTTCCTGGCACTTGATTCAGAAAGTGTTAAACCCAGGCAATTCGCATTTTTAAAAGTAGCCTCCAATGGAGACATATGTTTGCTATAGTAAATAAGCGTAATCTGTTCTTTTATTGTGCCTTCTTTATTTCGGAATTTTGGGTTGCAGATAGGTAGAATAAATCTAGCACTCTTCTCTTCTGGTTGATCTCCATCCAGACTTCTTAGTCCAAAGCTGATATACATGTATGTGATTGACTGTCCTAGCTGCATTTATGTATCTGTTCAGCCAGTCTTGTGCTCCAGGAATGCAGTGGGGGTGATGCCAAATACAAAGGCAGGTTTTATTTCTAATGCTTTGTTGCTGCCGTCACTTTTACTGGTCCTAATCATGATAATATCCAAAGCTAAGCTTTGTTGTAACTGTAGGACCTCCCCTTTGTACTGTCAAAGTGATCATTAGCCCCAGATTCACACTTCCAGCCTATAAAGAGAGACTTTTTTTAGACGCAGCTTCTGTCAGAGACCCAAGTGTGCTATGTGAGTGCTCATGCACACTGCACATTTTTACAGCTGCTGTTTTTGGCTTTTGATGTTTTTTTCTACAGCCAGTAAGCTCCCCAGCATGTTATCCTATGTGTCCATGCACACATAGACTGTAATCAACGTTTTTTTGGCAGGGGCGTTTTTTGGCTGGAAAAAATCCCCGAAACTAGTGGGTTTCTAGAGGAGTTTTTTTTAGCTGTAAAAACACTCTAACGCGGTAAAACGTGGTAAATCGCATCAAGCCAGCGTTCTTGGACTTTTGTTGACCAAAAAAAAATAAAAAATTTTTTGGTAAAAAAAAAACCTCGAAAAAAAAAACGCGGCTAAACGCTAATACAAAACCGCTGAAAAAACTCACGTTTTTAATGTGACTTTACACAGCTAACGTTACCAGCGTTATTAAAACACCCCGTGTGTATGGAGCCTAAATCTGGGCTGTGCTGCTAGCCCAGTCTAAGTATTCCCATGTAGGCACTTTTGTGTAATTACTTCCTGTAAGTGTCATTGCTATTTCCGAAGCTAATTTTTTACAAATAACACCAGATTTACTCCGGAGATTCCCAAGCTTGCAAGCAACATTTAAATGGCTTCTCTAGCTACACACACTATATTGCCAAAAGTATTGGTCGGCCTGCCTTTACATGAACCTGAACTTTATTGACCCCCCAGTCTTAGTCCGTAGGGTTCAGTATTGAGTTGGCCCCGCTCTTTGCAGCTATAACACCTTCAACTCTTCTGGGAAGGCTGTCCACAAGGTTTAGGAGGGTGTGTATGGGAAGGTTTGACCATTCTTCCAGAAGCACATTTGTGAGGTCAGGTACTGATGTTGAACACAAAGGCCTGGCTCACAGTCTCCACTCTAATTCATCCCAAAGGTGTTCTATCTGGTTGAAGTCAGGATTCTGTGCAGGCCAGTCAAGTTCCTCCAAACCAAACTCACTCATCCATGTCTTTATGGACCTTGCTTTGTGCACTGGTGCGCAGTCATGTTGGAACAGGAAGGGACCATCACCAAACTCTTCCCACAAAGTTGGGAGCATGAAATTGTACAAAATGTCTTGGTATGCTGATGCCTTAAGAGTTCCCTTCACTGGAACTAAGAGGCCAAGCCCAACCCAGGAAAAACGACCCCACACCATAATCCCCCTCCACCAAACTTTACACTTGGCACAATGCAGTCAGGCAAGTACCGTTCTCCTGGCAACCACCAAACCCAGACATGTCTATCGGATTGTCAGACAGAGAAGCATGATTCCTCACTCCAAAGATCACGTCTCCAGTGGTCCAGTGGTGGCGTGCTTTTACACCACTGCATCCGGCGCTTTGCAGTGTACTTGGTGATGTAAGGCTTGGCTGTAGCTTCTCGGCCATGGAAACCCATTCCATGAAACTCCCTACACATTGTTGTGCCACATGAAGTTTGGAGGTCTTTAGCTATTGACTCTGCAGACAGTTGGTGACTTCTGCGCACTGTGTGCTTCAGCATGCGCTGACCCCGCTCTGTCATGTTACGTGGTCTACCACTTGGTGGCTGAGTTGCTGTTGTTCCCAGTTGCTTCCACTTTGTTATAATACCACTAACAGCTGACCGTGGAATATTTAGTAGCAAGGAAATGTCACGGATGGACTTATTGCACAGGTGGCAACCTATCACGGTACCACGCTTGAATTCACTGAGCTCCTGAGAGCGACCCATTCTTTCACAAATGTTTGTAGAAGCAGTCTGCATGCCTAGGTGCTTTTATACACCTGTGGCCATGGAGGTGATTGAAACACCTGAATCCAATGATTTGGAGGGCTGGCCCAATACTTTTGGCAATATAGTGTGTTATGACATAATTGTAGACCATAATCAGTCATTGCATTCTTTGCTAGCAATATATCTGTCCTATAAACGCATGCTCATGTGAATGAAGCCATAGGGGTGGCACAAAGGTACCTGTTTAACTATCATGTCTTCTGGGTCACTCACAAAGTTCATTTGGTTGAGATTCCAGTGTTGCTGGCATTTAAAGCAGAAGTGTTGACACTGATCTTGGTTATCTTTTAGGGTTATCAAGAGAAGAACAAGTTTATAGCAGCACAAGGTAAATATCTGTTTTTTTGATGTTCGGCAGGGCTGTAAATTTGCAGCAATAGATTATGAAACGATAGCTGAATTTGGGGTCAGGTTTGCTTAATGTAAACCTGCAAAGCCCTGAGTAAGCTTCAGATATTGGATTACACTGCGTTTTTTTTTCCATTCATAGAGGCCAAACAGAATTTAAAAAAAGAGACTCCTCCGGAATTAACTGATCAGCACTTTGGCTGCAGCAGTAATTAAAGAAAAATTTCCCACAATTCCCATTGGAGAGAAGCTGATCACTAGATTGACTTCTCTTTAGCGGAAATGACCATAGATTGATCAAAATTGGATCAATTTTAAAACCTGTAGCCAGCTTCAGGATATGCTACATGAGACTGCTAGATCAATGTCATTGTATTATTATTATTTATTATTATAGAATTTACATAGCGCCAACAATTTGCACAGTACAGTTACAATAAAGTTCAAGGCAGGAGGAATCAGAGGACCCTGCTCATTAGAGCTTACAATCTAAAAGGGGAGGGTCAAGTGATACGAAATGTAACTGTGGGGGGGATTAGCTGATGGAAAAAAAAAAGGACAGTTGTTAGGTGGAGGTGTAGGATAGACTTCTCTAAAGCCTCTTTACAAATGAATTCTTCCACTACTGACTGTTGGGGTCTGCAAAGGGCTGCACAGCAAGTACCAAAGGGCATCTTGTGGCCCCTGGGCTTTAGGTTGGACATCAGTACACTAAGAATTTTTCAGACCCTGCCCCTGGGAGCATAAAAGAGTTGCCACAAAGTGCCTGTTGGCTAGAGATACTGCATTGACCTTCTTCAGTCCTTTGTTGTGGCCAGTTATTATGTGGCTTTTTCACTTCAGAATAAAGGCTCGTTCACACCATATGTGCAGGAAAACTGATGGGAAAAAAAGCACAGATATCACTTGCAGAGACACATGTTAACATTAGTTTTCATATGCATTTCAGTGAACTTTGTACACACTGCAGATTCCTCCATAGAAAATCTGCACGTGATACTAGTGTTGTGGTTTGAACAGGGCACATAGAGAACAATTCATTCGTTTGTGTCCTTGCAGAACGTGTGCAGAAAAACTCCTGTCTCTGCACATTGGTGTGAATGAGGCCTTAGGCAGGCGACAGTTGATTTAAACTGTCCAGGGTAGGGACAAATTAAGAAAGGTTAGGGACATGGGAGGTGGGGGACCGGTTAGAGAGTATGGGTGATGCAGAAATGGGAGGGGAGTGGTGGAGCCGTGCACGGAATCCATGGTCCCCCCCACCACACCTGCCTGTGGGACAGAACTCCATCACTGGCATGTATAAGTGGACATTAACGGCCGTCCTAATAAATGAGCCATTAAGCAAAGTGTAAGAGCACAGACCACAGGACGACTCCACTAGACGCCATACCATTCGGTCAGCTAAGATTGTGGATAGAATTTATCCTAGATTGTAAGCTCGAAAGAGCAGGGCCCTCAATCCCCTCATGTTTTGCATTGTATTGGTATTGTTCTGTCACATGTTCTGTCCCCCTTTGTAATGTACAGCGCTGAGTGAACTATTGGCGCTTTATAAATACTGTATAATAATAATAATAATAAGCTTCAATAGTTTTGTAATGGAATCAGCTCTTCATCCTTAAACTGACATGCCAAATCTTTCTCTCAAGCTCTGCATGTTCCTCTCAGATTAGGAGGGATCGCAGCATAGACTTGTATTATATATCTTTATTATGTTGTCCTTCCTACAGTCCCACAGCGGGGGAATGAAAGGAAGCCGTGTGTGTAGCCAGCTGTATGTGCAATGCACAAGTACACTGTAAAATGTAAAACTCTTTTAAAGTACAATGAAGTGTATGAGAGTCTGGAGACAGCTGGAGTGTGCCGGGAATGCATGCTGAGCTGTGCATGCGCAGCTCAGTGTCCATCCTGTAGAAGACTGAGCGGGCAGGTAAGGGTTATTGTAGATGAGACGTAACATGTCTATTCCACAGTAAAGAGCTGGCTGCTCACAGTTATTCACTAGTTGAGTTTAGTTCACATTAAAATTGCCTCATTTTTGAAACCTGAATGTTACCCAGTTACAATCCGTGTTTCAGCACCAAGACAGTCGTGATCAGTGTAGAAATCTTTACATCAGAGGCATCTGAAGAAGGTTAAGATTCCCTTTCAGTAAGCTTTGCTGTTACATTCTGACTATAAGATTTCTTTGTTCTCACTTCAAGGGCCAAAAGAGGAAACTGTGAATGATTTCTGGAGGATGATCTGGGAACAAAATACAGCGACTATCGTTATGGTCACCAACCTGAAAGAAAGGAAAGAAGTAAGTAGGATGTCTAAGGAAACGTGAACATTACGGGGCCCAGGTACACCAGTGTGTCTTATGATGATGGGTCAAGAAGTCATGTGAAAGCGGAGCTCCACCCAAAAGGGGAAATTTTGCTTTAAAGACTGGTCCCCACTCCCCATTAAGGATTGACACCACCTTTGGGGAGCAGCGGGAGTACTGGAAATTGACAGCTTTCCGCTGCGATCGCCTAGGCGATCGGAAGCAGAAGTTGTCCATCCATCCTATGAGGCTGCATAATCCCTGGCCCTCTATCTGGACATTACTGTTTGGCCCTGTGCTGATCACATGCACTCTCACGAAAAAAAAAAAAAACCTCTTTAGCAATACACACCAAACTGAGCATGTGCAGCTTGCCCCCAAGGCTCTGTTGTATCACCAGATGGATCAGGGACAGTAGAAGGGGAGGATCAGTGAAGACAGGATCAAACAGCCTTTTTACACAATGCAGATGATTAACCCCTTAGATTCCACTGTGTGTATAACAAGCATGCTTTACTGCATATACAGACTGATTGTACTGTTGTGGGTTTAGTAACACTTTAACCTTTAATATAATAATTCAATAGTTTTTTGTTATTAATTTGGGCAACATGCTGTATGTCACGGCTTCTGTTGTTCAGGTTTCTATCACTAGTGTTCCACATATGTGCACCATCTAGTGATTTAAATTTACAACTGCACATTATGTTCCATGGCAGTGTGCTCATGCCATCTAGTGTTTTATGGTATTAATACGATCTAGGAAATTCCATATCACATCTGAGGATTATTGCTTTACTTACGGAAAAGGAAATGCTTAGCTCTAGCAAAGTGCCTGACATTCCAGAAACCTCTTTCTGAGTTCAAGGTTTTGGTGCCCTTGCTTTTTATATCCTGATTCCCAGTGATGACTTTGCTTGCCTCTAACCAGGATCCCTAACTACCAACAGCCTGTGACCTCTTGCTTGTCTGACCACCAATGACTTTATTATACTCTAGCTACTATATATCAAATATCCTTGTTGCAGCGGTAAAAACCAGGCAGGGGTTCCAACATTTCCACGCTGCATGCAAAACTATTTCCACGCTGCATGCAAAAAAAAAAAGGCTTAAGATACACTTGAACTGGGAATACTGGAGGAACAATATGGTTGCTATGGTCAGCACAATCCTTCTGAAAGTTAAATAAAAGACTGATTCTATATTATTCAGGCAGTTAGGCCTCGTTCACACCATGGTGCAGAGACATCAATTTTTCTGCATGTGTTCTGCACGGGCACAAAAATCAATTGTACTTTATGTGCCTGTTCACACCACAATACTAGTATCACGTGCAGATTTTTTTCTGCACAGGAATCTGCAGTGGATATGAAACTCATTGAAGCACGCATGAAAACTGATGTCTCTGCAAGTGAAATCTGCATGTCAGTTTCCATCAGTTTTAATGCACGTATGGTGTGAATGAGCCCGTAAACAAGTTGCTGTTTTCAAAGTCATAATAATCTACAGCAACCAATCAGAAATCTCTTTGCTGTTATTATTGTAATAAAACTGAAATGCAGGTAAAAAAAAACACACACACAGAAAAGCGATGGCTGAAAAAAATCAGGTCTGCATTTTTATTCATTTATTTTTTTAATTTATTATTTATTTGCTACTTGAATAAAAAGAATTGTGGATGTATGATGTTTTTTTTTTCTAAGCCGTTTATTTTTTGCCCCCTGCAGTGTAAATGTGCTCAGTATTGGCCTGACCAGGGTTGCTGGACGTATGGAAATATCCGTGTATCGGTGGAGGATATGACCGTCTTAGTGGATTACACCATACGCAAATTCTGCATCCAGCAGGTATTAGACGGCTACTATGACTAACCACTGTTCAAAAAGATTGGAACAGCTTTTCTAAAAGCGACCAATGAATGATGATAAAATAGACTGGAAAGTCCTGCCCATTTAGTATGTTTTACTTAAAGGCATTGTACGCTTTCAAATGTTTCTCTTGTTTTAACTAGGTATTAGTGTAGTTATACTCCTTGCGGTGTTTGTTGGTCTTACCTTGTAATGATGGACTCACAAGTTGTGGCTGCAGTTTGTAGTGTCATGGCTGATTGATTCCTCTATGTTCATATATTCATTCACCTGGCTTGTCCCTATTCACTAAAGGGACTAGTCAACTTCTTGTTCTGGGTCACACATCGTTCAGTCTATGCCTAGCTATTTCGTCTGTGTTGCATCACAAATGTGGCCGTGATAATGCGGTGGAAATACAACCTCTTTCAGCAAGGTGATCTGTCTGTTAATTGCTTGGCTTGATTGTGGCTGTGTCAGATCTAATTATTATTTGACTCTCACCTGCAGCGCTCCAGGCTGAGAGACCCAGTGATTGTGGGATATATAGTTTCTTCACAGGAAGTGTCAGTTCTTAGATTCCAGAGAGGTCATCCATTAACCTGTGCAGTGCCATGCTTTATGCCTCTTGTTTGAACACAAAGAGAAATGGCTGAATTTGGAATGTAAAGATTTACTTTACTACAGGCTGTGCATGCACAAATGACGCCATGCAACTACTGTACATGACCAACGCACAAGTGAAAAATACAAAGTGCAGGTAGGAAGCTTTATAATGCCTTTAAAGTAAACCTGCTGTCCCTTTCCAAGGGAAACGGAATTCTTGATCAGCATACATGTAGCAAAAAAAAAAGTAATGAAGCCTTTAGGTCAGCATGGAATCCAACAACCAACCTAAGGAGAGGTCAGCAGTAACCACCTTCCTAGTCTACTAGGTGCAGATTACATATTGAACGATTGTGCCCCCCTTTATTGTATAGGTACCTATAGGGCTGGCAGTCACAAGTCCCTTCCACTGATGGCAGGAGTTTGTAACCTTATAATTCCTTTACGATTTCTCATCTCAGGTTGGTGACGTTACAAATAAGAAGCCGCAGCGCCTTGTTACGCAGTTCCATTTCACCAGTTGGCCTGATTTTGGGGTGCCTTTTACTCCTATTGGGATGCTAAAGTTTCTAAAGAAGGTTAAAGCCTGTAATCCACAGTATGCCGGCGCTATTGTTGTACATTGCAGGTGAGTTTGTAAAAATACATGGCTGGATGTCTATTGATTGGAGGGTGTTTTTGTTGTAACAATATGACTTTCTAGGGTGACACGGTTACAGCTTTAAATAAAACAGTGCTCTCAAAGTCCAATAAATGCTAATAGTGACCAAAGAAAACACTCGTGCTTCCAATAACTACTGTGGGTGACCATAAATTAACAGGAACTCTGTGTAGATCTTTGGGTGCATGTGAATATGACAATCCGACCACCATCTGGATATAAGCCTCTCACCTCATCACTTCGACCCTTGCGGATCAAAGCGCTTTTGTGGATCCCCCTCACGGATCCTCCAAGATAGCTATCACTCCAAATGTAGCTCCTTGTTGCACCCAAATCTCTCAGAAATCAATATTCCACCAATGGCTCCTCTCCAGGTAAGTTGCAGCATCAATCACAGCGCGCTCCCAGCAGAAAGAACGGGGTGTCACTGAGAGCCCTGGGTCCCATTCTAACGTCCGGGACCTCCGATTCCGGGTCACATGATCGCTGTGATAGCCTCTGATTGGCTATCACAGTGATCAGTCACTGTACAGCCCAGCCCCCTTGGGTTTTTTCTCTCTATGAATGGAGGGGAGAGATACATTGCATCTCTCTAACTCTTGGCATAGAGGAGGAAAAAAAAAAGTTTGTTAAAAAAAATTAATAAAATAAATAAATATTAAAAAATAAAGAAAAAATACCTAGATCAAGGTTTGATCTAGTTAATTGCCAGGGTAAGTGTTTGGGTCAAGGTCAGGGTCAAAGGTCAGGATTTAAAAAAAAAAAAAAAAAAAAATTGGTATTAGTATCAGTGTGTTTTAGGTAAACAAAAAACAAAATGCACACTATTGTTTCTGGGCTGTACTACGGGTACAAACAACAAATAACACACATATATGGTATCACTGCAATTGTCAAGAGCTGGAAAATATTTTCTGGGTTGTTCTTTGGTGGTAGGTTATAGTAGTAACAAGAAACACACAGCTAAATAAAATTTTTTTTTTTTTTTTTTTTACTATTTTGGGTAAGTTTTCATTTGATAAAAAAAAAATTGAGAGATATCCATTACCATTTACCACCAAATGAAAGCCCAATTTGTCCTGAAAAAAACAAGGTATAATTTACCTGGATGTACAAATTAGTTGTGATGATATGTACAGTTTTACTGACACATGTCAACGTTGCAAAATTGTGCTTCGTTATTTAACATTTGTTTTACCCTTAGGCGGGAAGGGGTTTAGTTATTAGTGACTGCTTGGTGTGTTAATGGCGAAAAATACCCCACAACCTTTACGGAGCAAAGCAATGATACTGCCTGCCATAGCTACCAAAGTATCCAAAATGACACGTATTATTGAAAGAGATACTTTCACTTTAAAGGCAAAGTGACAATGTCTGTGTAGGTTGTCCTCCACAACCTTCATGTCAGTGGAGGGGAAGGGGGATCTTCAAGCAAAGGATGGAGCCGACGCAGGACAATGTAACTCCAGCACACGCACGGGCGATCTTTGCAGGTCCGCCTGTCAGTCGTTCAGGCGGACCTCATCGGAAGGTCCCTGCATTCCTATGGACAAGCGGGTGTAAACAGACCTGTGTCCATTTACACCCACCCACCTCAGGATCCAATCTGGTCCACTAAAAATAATTAAATAAATGAAAGGGGATAGTTCATTTAGGCAGATCTGATCAGAGGGTAGTCAGGTGTAAATGGACTGAGGAGTCCATTTATTCCTGACTGCCCATAGAGAAGAATGGGGTCTGTCCCCGTCCACTCTGCAGAAACTGAGCAGAAACAGACCTGTCATCTGCCCGCTCTTCTCCCTGGTCAGCAGAGAATCAGCCCACAGATCCCCTGCTGATCAGAATGGAGTCTGCCCCATGTGAAAGGGGCCTTAAAGTGCCAACCTGTCAGCGCTTTTTGAAAGGTTGCCCCTGGTAGGTAAATCTGCCATTATGGCAAATGCTTTGGTGACAGAGTTACATAGTCTGTCTGTACAAGACAAATTTCCATCTAGTTGAAAAAAAAAAAAAAAGTTATAATCCTACACCCACAGTTGATCCAAAGGAAGGCAAAAACCCAGCAAAGCATAATCCAGTTTGCTCCTGCAGGGTAAAAAATTCCTTCCTGATCCCCCGAGAGGCAATCGGATATTCCCTGGATCACCTTTACCTATAAATGTTTGTATCCAGTTTTATTCTGTGTATCTAGGAAAGAATCCAGGACTTTTTTTAAAGCAATCTATTCCACATTTTCACAGCTCTCACTGTGAAGAAACCTTTACGTATTTGGAGAGTAAATTTATTTTCCTCCAGACGTAAAGAGTCCTCTTGATGACCTCAGGGGTGAATAACTCTACACCGAGTTCACTATATCAACCACTGATGTATTTATACATGGAGATCATATCCCCCCCTTATGTATTATACATGGAGTATTTATTATACATGGAGATCATATCCCCCCTTATGTATTATACATGGTGATCATATCCCCCCTTATGTATTATACATGGATCATATCCCTCCTTATGTATTATACATGGAGGATCTTATGTTTTATACATATCCCCCCTTATGTATTATACATGGTGATCATATCCCCCCTTATGTATTATACATGGAGATCATATCCCCCCTTATGTATTATACATGGAGATCATATCCCCCCTTATGTATTATACATGGAGATCATATCCCCCCTTATGTATTATACATGGTGATCCTTATGTATTATACATGGAGATCATATCCCCCCCTATGGTGTATTTATACATGGAGATCATATCCCCCCTTAACATCCGCTTCTCAAGAGAATAAATTCAGTTCCTCTAATCTTTCCTCATAGCTGATCTCCTCCATGCCTCTTATCAGTTTAGTTGCCCTTCTCTGTACTTTCTCCAGTTCCCCAATGTTCTTTTTGTGAATTGGTGCCCAAAACTGAACTGCATATTCCAGATGAGGTCTTACTAATGATTTGTACCGGGGGTAATATGATATCTCTCTCTCTGTATTCTATACCTCTTTTAATATGAGAGGATTTTGCTCGCTTTAGAAACCGCAGCTTAGCATTGCATGTCATTATTAAGCTTGTGATCTACCAGAACTCCCAGATCCTTCTCCACCATTGATTCTCCCAGTTGTACCCCCCCTAGTATGTATGATGCATGTATATTCTTAGCCCCAAGTGCATAACCAAGAGTATGGATTTGGTTCTGATCTAAAGTCAGTTTAAAACTAGACTGTCCGCTGGGTGACAACACTGCAGTGATTTTACTGCAGAACAAACAATGTTGTCACCCAAATACAGGAAGTGCAAACAGTGTATTTCTGAGCAGGATCAACAGGTAATAGGATGGTTACAGGGGGACTCATAGATACAAAAATACATATTGACATACTACATTGTGTCATATTTGCTTTTGGCCTTAATTTCACTTTTAGTTAAAAAAGCTTATGTACCATGCTTTGCTTGCTCCTCAGTGCCGGTGTAGGTCGGACGGGAACCTTCATAGTCATAGATGCCATGTTGGATATGATGAATGCAGAGAAAAAAGTAGATGTTTATGGGTTTGTGAGTCGGATCCGGGCTCAGCGCTGTCAGATGGTACAAACAGATGTAAGTGTTCACAACTGATGCTGTAAATATACAATATATCAACAGTGTGATTTGCTTTGGCTACTTGTACAAGCAAGCCCCTAATTTATATCACCCACAGATTACTGCCTTTTTTTTTTTTTTTAGCAGATCAGCAAAGGTTAGCCCAGTATACATGAACATGAAACATGCAATATTTATTTGCAATATAAATAAACTCAACTGTATTTTTTAGAATTACAAATTCCACTTTCATAGTGAAAAAATAGCAAATTAAAAAAAAAAATATTCTAACATACAATTGCTATGCAAGGCACACTGTAATTTTCTGTAAAATGCAATATGGCATCCTGGAGGTGTTCTGTATACAGATCCCCTCCCAGAAATGTCATTTCCTGCTAGTGTGATTGGCTCACTGATTTCTCCAGTCTGCACTAAGATACAAAGCAGATTTTGAGCATCCTTTTCAACAAAAATGTCATTTTTGGTGAGTTGCTCCCAAAGGGATGCCACGTCCGAAGGGATGCAGACTCTGCCACTTTCCTCATTACAACCCCGTAAGTGCAGCAGCTGATTAATAATTAGTCATTCAATTTCACTTTGCACATGCCCACAGAGAAACATAAAGCTATTTCTTCAGAAAAACAAAAGGTAAGAATCTGTAACAAAGTTTGGTAAAGTCTCTGCATAGTTACATAGTTAGTCTGGCTGAAAAAAGACAAAAGTCCATCCAGTTCAACCACAAAAAAAAAAAAAAAAAAGTTATAATCCTATGCCCACAGTTAATCCAGAGGAAGGCAAAAAAAAAACAGCAAAGCATGATCCAATTTGCTCCTGCAGGGGAAAAGATTCCTTACTGATACCCCGAGAGGCAATCGGATATTCCCTGGATCAACTTTACCTATAAATGTTAGTATCCAGTTATATTCTGTGTATCTAGGAAAGAATCCAGGACTTTTTTAAAGCAATCTACTGAGCTGGCCAGAACCAAGTCTTGAGAAAGTTTATTCCACATTTTCACAGCTCTCACTGTGAAGAAACCTTTTCGTGTTTGGAGATTAAATCTCTTTTCCTCCAAATGCAATGTACACAGCTTTTGGAGATTTTTTTTTTTTTTAAACAAAAGTGGAGTTACCCTTTAAGTATAGTGCATAAAGAAAGAAAATACAGCACTGCTCTTAGACAATTCCAATATCAAAGCTTTTTGTGTTTTCTTGATGCACACACCTTCCCCAGGATTTTCTCAGGTCCTAACTGTACAATATTCTATGGGTCTTGGGTGGGGGGGGGGGGGGGGGGGGGGGGGGGGGGGGCGAGGGGGGGGGGGGGGGTGGGGGGGGGGGGGGGGGGGGGGGGGAGTTCTACTATAGTGTGTTTAACATGTTCCTGATTGTGCGTTTTGTTTAGATGCAGTACGTCTTTATTTATCAAGCACTGCTGGAACATTATCTGTATGGGGACACAGAGCTAGAAGTCACGTCTCTGGAGACTCACCTACAGAAACTGTACAACAAAATCCCCGGGACCAACAGCAACGGCCTAGAAGAGGAGTTCAAGGTGAGACCAAAAGCATTTTGAAGCTTCTGCTGAGACATAGGGGGGTGGTAAATTAAATATCATATGCACTTGCCGACCACGCACTGTAGTTTTACTGCTACTGTGTAGGCCAGCTGTGAAGAATCACATGTGTATATATACATAAGTTTGCATTTCCGGGTAGTGGTCGCAAGCGCTGTCATTGGCTCCAGCATATGCCGATCACTCGGTCCCGGGCAATGATTTATGGCTGGCACCTGCCGATCGACGGAGCGAGTGACAGGAGAGGGCAGGAGAAAAATCTGTGTTGGTAAACAACACAGAGCTCTCTACTGACAGTGGGGATGTGCCAGTTTTTGTTTCCATGCAAAGCAGGGGATAAAAACAGTCACGTCCCTTATTAAAAGCCCCAACACATTGACGCTTGCTAGGCACAGTTATATAACATAATAAAAATATATACGGACCTCGCATCTAAACTGTACATATGACTCAAACATTACACCATCTCAATTGTTTACAACATAATTTACCATTATTAAAGTCCCAAATTGTGAAATAAGTGCCTGTGCTTTATATTCCAACTTGGATGAAGTGCTTATCTTGATCAATTAATTCAAAGTGCTCCGCAGTACTCAAAAGTGCCCTACATGGACTAGAACTCACCCTTAGCCGATGACCATCTATCTCTAGAGTGGTATACAAGACTTGTGGGGCATTCCCCAATGAAGTTGGTTCTCTCCAGATCACTGCAAGTTCATGATGGACATATCACAAAAAGAGCAGGAAGGGGAATCCCATAGTGTAAAACCAAATTGTATTTTATTGTAAAATAAATATATAGTATATCACTCACAAATAAAGTTCCTTTGCCCGGCACCTGATGTACTCAGCCTTATTTGTGTGTGTGGAAGCCACTGGATTAAGCGCTCCTCGGAGTGGCGTGCTTTCCATACTCCACAAGTGACGTCAGCGGAAATTGCGTCATCAGACCTCAACACTTTTCGATCAAAGATCGTCTTCAGGAAGTGCACTTGCACTATTGCACATTTTTTTGGGACTGCTGCAATAGCTTTAATTTTGGTTTTGTACTATATTGTAATGTATTGCACATCCACAAACGCATGAGCACCTTTTTTAAATAACTGCTAGGCACACAGTTAACCCCTTGATTGCTCTAGAGGTTAACCCCTTCCCAGCCAGGGTCATTAATACAGCAACAGTGTATACTTTTAGCACTGATCACTGTGTTTGTGTCAGTCAGTGCCCACAAAGCGTCAGTGTCAGATTGCCCGCTTCACTTTCACAGTTCTGCTAAAAGTTGCTGATCGCCGCCATTACTAATATTAATATATATATTCCTAGATTGTAAGCTCGAAAAAGAGCAGGGCTGTCAATCCCCTCATGTTTTGTATTGTGATTGTTCTGTCACATGTTCTGTCCCCCTTTGTAATGTACAGCGCTGAGCGAAACTATTGGCGCTTTATAAATACTGTATAATAATAAATATTATATATATATATATGGGCAAAAAAGTATTTAATCAGCCACCAATTCTGCAAGTTCTCCCACTTAAAAAGATGAGAGAGGCCTGTAATTGGCATCATAGGTAGACCTCAACTATGAGAGACAAAATGAGAAAAAAAATCCAGACAATCACATTGGCTGATTTGGAAAGAATTTATTTGTAAATTTTGGTGGAAAATAAGTATTTGGTCAATATCAAAAGTTCATCTCAATACTTTGTTATATATCCTTTGTTGGCAATGACAGAGGTCAAACGTTTCCTGTAAGTCTTCACAAGGTTGGCACACACTGTTGCTGGTATGTTGGCCCATCCTCCATGCAGATCTCCTCTAGAGCAGTGATGTTTTGGGGCTGTCGCTGGGCAACACGGACTTTCAACTCCCTCCAAAGGTTTTCTATGGGGTTGATATCTGAAAACTGGCTAGGCCACTCCAGGACCTTGAAATGCTTCTTATGAAGCCACTCCTTCGTTGCCCGGGCGGTATGTTTGGGTTCATTGTCATGTTGGAAGACCCAGCCATGTTTCATCTTCAATGATGGAAGGAGGTTTGCACTCAAAATCTCACGATACATGGCCCCATTCATTCTGTCCTGTACATGGATCAGTCGTCCTGATCCCTTTGCGGAGAAACAGCCCCAAAGTATGATGTTGCCACCCCCATGCTTCACAGTAGGTATGGTGTTCTTCGGATGCAACTCAGCATTCTCTCTCCTCCAAACACGACGAGTTGTGTTTCTACCAAACAGTTCTATTTTGGTTTCATCTGACCATATGACATTCTCCTAATCCTATTCTGGATCATCCAAATGCTCTCTAGCAAACTTCAGAAGGGCCCGGACATGTACTGGCTTAAGGAGGGGGACACGTCTGGCACTGCAGGATCTGAGTCCCTGGCGGCGTAGTGTGTTACTGATGGTAGCCTTTGTTACGTTGGTCCCAGGTCTCTGCAGGTCATTCACTAGGTCCCCCCGTGTGGTCCTGGGATTTTTGCTCACCGTTCTTGTGATCATTTTGACCCCATGGGGTGAGATCTTGCGTGGAGCCCCAGATCGAGGGAGATTATCAGTGGTCTTGTATGTCTTCCATTTTCTAATTATTGCTCCCACAGTTGATTTGTTCACACCAAGCTGCTTGCCTATTGCAGATTCAGTCTTCCCAGCCTGGTGCAGGTCTACAATTTTGTTTCTGGTGTCCTTTGACAGCTCTTTGGTCTTCACCATAGTGGAGTTTGGAGTGTGACCGTTTGAGGTTGTGGACAGGTGTCTTTTTATACTGATAACAAGTTCAAACAGGTGCCATTGATACAGGTAATGAGTGCAGGACAGAGGAGCCTCTTAAAGAGAAGGTACAGGTCTGTGAGAGCCAGAAATCTTGCTTGTTTATAGGTGACCAAATACTTATTTTCCACCATAATTTGCAAATAAATTCTTTCCAATCAGCCAATGTGATTGTCTGGATTTTTTTTTTCATTTTGTCTCTCATAGTTGAGGTCTACCTATGATGCCAATTACAGGCCTCTCTCATCTTTTTCAGTGGGAGAACTTGCACAATTGGTGGTGACTAAATACTTTTTTGCCCCACTGTATATATTAAAAAAATTTCAGTATATATTCCATAGTTTATAGACACTATAACTTTCATGCAACCCAATCCATATAGAGTTATGGGGTTTTTTTCTTACCAGACACGTAACAGAATACATTTTGGCCTAAGTTTATGTAGAAATATGATTTTTTTTTTTTTTACATTTTTAATGAATGTTTTATTGCAGAAAGTAAAAAAAATATTTTTTGTTTACACAGGCACTTATACCTCCTTCCTGCCCAGGCCAATTTTCAGCTTTCAGCGCTGTCACACTTTTACAACTGCGTGGTACCCATATGACATTTTTAACTTTTTTTCACACAAATAGAACTTTCTTTTGGTGGTATTTAATCGCCACTGGGTGTTTCATTTTTTGCGCTATAAACAAAAAAAGCAAAAAAAAAAAAAAAAAAGTTTTTCTTGGTTTTTATTATAAAATTTTACAAACAGGTAATTTTTCTCCTTCACTGATGTGCGTTGATGAGGCTGCACTGATGGGCATTGATGAGGTGGCACTGATGGGCACTGATAGGATGCATAGGTAGGCAGGCGGCACTGATGAGCTGGCATTGATGATGCTTCTCTGACTGGCGGCACAGGTGGGCGACACTGCTGGGAACAGGTGGGCGGCACTGCTTGGCACTGATCATCAGTGCTGATCTCTTCTCTGACAATTGCCGGTTATCAGCAGTACTTTCCTTACACTGTGACAGTGTGAGGAAAGTGCAGCTGATAACTGGCAACTGTATTTACCCGGTGATCTGTGTAATCGGGGACACTTTACGTGGTAAAAGGCCAATGTGATCAGCTGTGTCTGTAGGACACAGCGATCACTGGCGGTGCCAGGAGCACGCCGCTGGGGGCGTGTTCTGGGAGGACGTCCATGGACGCCCTCCCAGAACTATACAACCGTGCTGTAGCAGTTTTTCTGCTATAGCGCGGTTGGGAAGAGGTTAAAAATAAAAACTCAGTGGTGATAAAATGCCACCAAAAGAATGCTCTATTTGTGTGAAAAAGAAAAAGATATAAAATTTTGTTTGGGTATGGTGTTGCATTACTGCGCAATAGTTAAAGTAGCGCAGTGCCCTATTGCAAAAAATGGCCTGGTCATTCCAACATGTGGATATTATTACATTATAAGGCCAAATGTTTAGACCGTTGTGCACCCAACCATGTGACAATGGTTTGGGGGAGGCCCTTTTCTGTTCCAGCCCTCGGGAACAAGGTCCGCTCGGTCCGCTCAGTAAAGACCTAGTTTGATCGGTTTGGAGTGGAGGATCTTGAGTGGCCTGGACAGACCTTGCTATGCTCACCCCTATTGAACACCTTTGGGGTGAATTGAAACGTCAATTACAAACCAGGTCTTCTCATGCAACCTCAATATCTGACCTCACAAATGTTCTATTGGCTGAATGGGCACAAATACCCATGGACACAATCCTTGATCTTGTAGGAAACCTTCCCTGAAGAGTGGAGGTATTGTATTAGATGCAAAGGAGGACCAGCCCTATATTAGTGCCCATGGTTTTAGAATGGGATGTCCAACCAGCTCATTAAGGTGTCATAGTCAAGTGTCAACAAACATTTTTCCATTTAGTGTCATTGTTTATGGCTTTAGGAAAGGTAAAGGTTAAACACCTAGTGACTGTTACAGTAATACGGTTTATTGGTTTATCCAGCTGCAGTCGCTGCTTGTGCTATGACATGCTGCCATACTGTCTACTGAAGGTTCAGGTTTTGATAAATCAGTCTTGTATCCATTCTATTCAGAGCAGCTGAATCTGTGTGTAACATAAGAACTGCCTGTTTCTCCTTTCAGAAACTAACATCTATTAAAATTCAGAATGACAAAATGAGGACGGGAAATCTGCCAGCCAACATGAAGAAAAACCGAGTCCTGCAGATCATTCCATGTAAGATTTTTTTTTTCCTTTTTTCACGTGGCTTGTTTTAGTTGTTTGTTTAGTGTCGCGCTGTGCTGTGCAGCACCTTGCAGAGTTGATTGTACCAATAGGGAAACATTTGGACCGCAACATTACCAGCCTGGGGGAAGGGGAGTGTTAGATGTACTAGCAGATTTAAATACACCAACAAACTGAAGCCAAAGTCCAGCTCACACTATAAGAAGCTACAACAATTTTTTTTTCCTTTTGGGATAAATGTTTTCCATAAATAAATAAAAGCTGATTTTTGCAGTCACCCCTGTAAGTGGTAATTGGTTTGTCTCATCCCTGTAACTGATGTATCTATAAGAGAACTTGTTCTTTTGAAAATACCAACTTACTGTCTGGATCACCAGATGAAAATAGAAGAAAGCCTTGAAAAATAAAAATGTTAGCCATCACATCTATGAGTTGGTAAGCTGCCATATAATGTTTGTTTTTTGGTTTAATATTGCTTTAATGTCCATTAACCTGTTAGTATATTATTGGATTGTGGGAGAAAACTGGAGCTCCTGGAGAAAAAAAAAACCTGTAGAGGAAATCCATACTCCTCACAGGTTCTCCTGCTAAAGATTCCACATGACACTGATTTATTGTGCCAATGCCACAAAGAAGCCCAGGTACAATATACCCAACAACACCTTGACAGGCCTTTCTGTACTTTTTTTTTGTGGCATTGACACAGTAAAGGCTTCTTTCTGCCAACTCGACCATGCAGCTCATTTTTGTTTAAGTATTGTTGTATTGTGCTCTTCAAAGCACTTTTTCCAGAGCAGCCTGTTTTTTCTCCTGAAGTTATATGTGGGGTTTGCTTTGTATCCTGAACAATTCTTGTGGCAGTTTTGGCTGCAAGTTTTTTCTTGGTCTACCTGACCTTGGCTTGGTATCAAGAGATCCCTATATTTTCCACTTCTTTATAAGTGATTGAACAGTACTGACTGGAATATTCAAGGCTTTGGACATCTTTTTTTTTTTTTTTTTACCTCTTTCCATCTTTTTTAAAGTTCCATTACCTTGTTATGCAGGCCTTTTGACAGTTGTGTTCTGCTCCCCATGGCTCCCATGGCTCAGTATCTAATCTGCTCAGTGCATCCATATGAGAGCTAATAAACGCATTGACTATTTATACATGGACACTAAATACAATTTAAAAAGCCACAGATGTGGGAAATTAACCGATCTTTCCATTGTAACCTGTATGTGTTACATTGTGTCTGTACCAAGGCCAACCATTACAGGGGATGGAAACTTTTGGTCAGGGTCATTTGGGTGATTTCTGTTAGGATTTGAAAAGGGACCAAAGAACTATGTGATAATAAATGGCCTTATATGATAACTATTCTTAAATAAAAGACAGTTTTTTTTGGCATAATCAGTCCTATTTTCAATACAAATGCCAACATTTCATGAGTTCTGCCAGGGTATGCAAACTTTTGAGCCAACTGTATAAAGCTGCGGCTGCTGGTAGGCCTGCAGATGTATAGGATATCTTATGTACATGACCTATCTGCAGAGTGAGGAGGTTTATAGATCACATTGCTCTGTAAATAGGAGCCACGTCTGCTATGCTAGCAGTAGTCGGGCAGTTTTGTAGTGGCACAGACATCACACCCCGGCTGCATATGTAAGGTCAGTCATTTTTTTTTTTTTTTATTCCTTGTGCTCTGTAAGAATTGCAGAAAATAAAATACACCAGTAGGAGGTGCTGTCATCTCAAAGCACACTGGTCAAAGATGTTTATCTGCTTATATTTTATCTTTCTTGGTAGTTCCTCTCTCCCCTATATCCAATGTGAATGAAATTATTAAATACAACCAATCGGTTTTCAGTGCATACATTTTAAACCCAGGTACACAGGCTCTCTGTGCTTCTCCATGCAGTGCAGGTTGATTATGGCTGTTGGGAGGGGCTAGCAGGGTGCTGTACATAGCTTCTTGAAAGCTGTGGTAATGCCTACATGCGATGCTGACCATCCATGATTGGCAGAACTGAAATCTAATAAAAAGCTGTGGGTCAGGGACAATAAAAGGCTGGGGAGGAAATGGCTAGATGATGCTGGATGTTCTCCAGCCCAGATATCAGGCTGGCTTTGTCTGACTTGCTGCAGCTGCTAATGCACACTGTGAGAAGCTCTGTGTGCAGTGAAATCGGAGTAAATAAATTCAGTAGAGGAGTGAAGCCTCTATAACCATGCCTGATTGAAGGGAAGGCTGCAGTTCAGATTTAATGTTTTTCTTTCCTTTTTCTCCTGCAGATGAATTTAACAGAGTCATTATTCCTGTGAAAAGAGGAGAGGAGAATACAGACTATGTAAACGCCTCTTTTATTGATGTAAGTTCATTCTACATTTCTTAGGAACCACATAGTACTTTGTATGTGAGGATTCTCGTTGATCCAAGTCGGGGTATAGCTAGTCATCCTTACATTTAACTGGACTTGTTCTGCCTCTCCAAACTAAGCACTGCAAGTGTGATCTATAACTGGATCTGTTGTGGCAAGATAGCTGTAATTTACGGTCTTGGTAGAATTAGCAGACAGTGACCAGATCCAAATTACATCTTGCAGATCGTAGAAAGTGTTTTAATCCAAAAGCTTGTGGAGATCACGAGAGGTGAATGTAAGCTAGGTAAACAAATCATAGAGTGTCTAGCTCTATAGAATACTATACATTGGACTGAGTGGAGGCTAAAGCATGAAGAAAAAGGGTGGGACTAACTACATCCCCTAGCTGCGAAGTGAGGTAGGGACAAAATTATTTAAAGGCAAATAATGAATGTATAAGATGATACTTGTTCTGTAGCCATGAAGATGGTTGACTGCTCATCTAAGTAGCTTCTCCAGCTCTGAAAAAAATGCTTGTGTTCATATGCTTGTATGCTTCCTCTGTTGACACTCGTCATGGCTTTTCTGGCCCCCAGGAGGAACAGATGAGCCTGGGGTTCATTGGGGAGGGGAAGTCCAGTGTGGTGGGGTAAGCATAAAATGCATGTTTGTGGAAATGATTGGGTGACTTAACAGCCACTCAAATCCCATCCACAAGGAAGCTGACAGTTGGCTGAAGAAATGCAGAGCGGCTCCCTGGGATTTTGGGTGGGGGGGGTCTTTATTAGGGAGCATTTGTACTGGGAAGAAATGGTACTTTTTGTTAGTTGTACTGTGTACACTGGCCTGTGCATTATGTACTCCTGAACCCTGCATTCTGCATTCTTATGCACTGTGGGTTGTGTACTCCTAAACCATGCATTCTACATTATGCACTGTGGGTTGTGTACTCATGCTTTGTGTACCTGACTCTTGCATGTATATTGTACTGTATTTTTAATTTTCATAGTTCATGTTACATTTCATACTCCTGACCCCTGCACTATGTATATTTATTGTTCATGTTACATTTCATACCCCTCCTGACCCCTGCACTATGTATATTTAGTGCTCATGGTACATTTCATACTCCTGACCCCTGCACTATGTATATTTAGTACTCATGTTACATTTCATACTCCTGGCCCCTGCACTATGTATATCTAGTGCTCATGTTACTGCACTATGTATATTTAGTGCTCATTTCATACTCCTGGCCACTGCATTCCAAGTAAATTTTATATATTCTTGACTCCTGCACTCTTTAGCTACTCTATAATATAAATTACATACCCCCTACCAAAGTGTTTGTCTCAGCATTTGCCTGGTTGCCAGGTAGTCAATATTTTATGAATCCGCAGGTATTTTGTTTGTTGTCCTCGTAGGCTATGGTTACCCAGGTACATTTCCTGCCATAAGAAGCTTGCAGTGGAAATGTCAGCAGTTTCTCCTTTTTTTTTTTTGATTTTGCTATTGATTAATGCAGGGGCTCTTCTTCAGGCCAGTTTGTAAGTGGATGTGCCATTACTCTGGAAGACACCATTTCTAACATCTAATGCTAGAGCGTTGTTCCTTTGTCATGCAGGGTTATCGACAAAAGGACTCATACATTGCCAGTCAGGGGCCATTACGGCACACGATGGAAGATTTCTGGCGGATGATCTGGGAGTGGAAGTCGTGTTCGATTGTCATGTTAACAGAACTGGAGGAGAGGGGGCAGGTAATATTGTCAGATGGTAACTGGTCTATCCGTGTGTGCACAGCCAGGCTGAACTCCAGGCAGACGGCTTAATACAAATATATATTATATATATATATCACACTGTTATACACGCAGCCCACCCCAAGATATAATTGAGGAGAGTTGGAATGTAGCTCTGGACCTGTAAGATTCTTATTTGTATTGCTATCCTTCAGTAATGATGTTGATGTAAATAATCTGGATCCCGGCCAGGCGGCTTCTACACCCCAGAGGATCTCCAGGGTCTCCTTTGCTTTGTAGTGCAATGTAACAGAAAAGGAAATTGAAGTGACACACCACTTCTAAGAGGTCCAGATACAACTTTAAAGAAAAAAAGAAGTCAGGAGGACAATCCAAAAAGTAGCCATTTTGGCGATATCCTTGTTTTTGGATCCCCTGTGTCCTTGCATCCCCAAAATGTGTTGGATACTTTTTGGAATGCAGTGGTGTGGTGCGTCCATTTCCATTTTTGTTACATTCTGAGATATACACAGCCCAAGCAGATAGCAGAGGCAGCCTGGGGACCTAAATTTTTCCCAAAGGGGTCTGTTTGTAAAAACAATTAACACAGACATTAGGCCAGCCAACCTGCATGTACATTTTGTTCTGTGCAAATTGGCCAAAAACAATGTTCTTTAGGTTTTTTCCTCTGGACAAATGTTTTTTGTTTTTATGGGCAGTAGTAACATACCACATTAGGGCCACGAGATGGAGGGGAGATGCCCACACCCACATTCCCTCCTGTTTACAACAGATGGGAGTTGCAGTTCTTCCAAATGAGCTGAAATGACGGAACCTCTTGCTTGATACCTCCTCTGGGTGTCCTGTCTTTTTCTCAGTTAAAGCTATGATGTCAGTCTCTAAAAAGGTAGTTTTCTCATAAATTGAGACATTTTTATTTAAAATATTAGCCTGTTTGTAAGTTATGGTGCAAAATAACTGGTGTCCCAGGGTGCAGCTTTACCGCTGTACTACTATTCTGCCCAATGTATATGAATGAATGAGTACAAGCTTGCTTGAATAAGCAGGGAGACCCTTGTACTACTGCAAAATGCCCCATTCCCCTCCAGTAGTTGATAAATACATCTTCACTTAATTCTTTTCAGGAAAAATGTGCGCAGTATTGGCCACCAGAAGGGACCATGTCTTTTGGCGATATTACCATAGAGCTGAAGAAAGAAGAGGAGTGTGAGAGCTACACAGTGAGAGATCTTCTGGTCACCAACACCAGGGTGAGGACATCTGAGGTCACATCTTGGCACAAAGAATGCAACTTTTCAGATCTTTCTATAGACCAGGATAGGCAGTCTGGGCACTTTAGCTGTTGTGGAACTGCAAGACACCAACAGTTCCAGACTCCCAGAGACAGAGGGATGATGGGATTTGTAGTCTTACCACAGCTGGAGAGCCGAGGTTGCCTAGACCTGGCATAGACTTTCTAACAAGAGATAAGCTGATTGCCCTCAAGCACAAAACAACTGAATTGGAAAGGCTTTTGAGGATCTAATGTTCAAATTCCTGTTCTGTACTGAATAGAAAGCTGGCTGATTCGATGATTCATTTTTTTGTTTGGCCAGCAGACTCAACAAAAAAACCCCCAAAAAACAAAAAAACAGATGGGGTGGATGGAGAAATCCCCCTGGCAGGATATTGTATTCTGATATCAGCATTCCGCACAGAGTACACTGATCAGCGGTTGCAGCGTCACAATCGACATCTGTCAGTGAGCAATGACCACACACTGAAATTGTATTCTGATAGCAGCATTCCGCACAGAGTACACTGATCAGCAGGTTGCAGCATCACAATCGACATCTGTCAATGAGCAATGACCACACACTGAAATTGTATTCTGATAGCAGCATTCCGCACAGAGTACACTGATCAGCAGTTGCAGCATCACAATCGACATCTGTCAATGAGCAACGACCACACACTGAAATTGTATTCTGATAGCATTCCGCACAGAGTACACTGATCAGCGGTTGCAGCATCACAATCGACATCTGTCAATGAGCAATGACCACACACTGAAATTGTATTCTGATAGCATTCCGCACAGAGTACACCGATCAGCGGTTGCAGCATCACAATCGACATCTGTCAATGAGCAATGACCACACACTGAAATTGCATTCTGATAGCATTCCGCACAGACTACACCGATCAGCAGTTGCAGCGTCACAATCGACATCTGTCAGTGAGCAATGACCACACACTGAAATTGTATTCTGATAGTAGCATTCCGCACAGAGTACACTGACAGAAGTCGATTGTGATGCTGCAACCGCTGATCAGTGTAGTCTGTGCGGAATGCTGCTATCAGAATACAATTTCAGTGTGTGGCCATTGCTCTTTGACAGAAGTCAATTGTGATGCTGCAACCACTGATCAAAGAGCAATGACCACACACTGAAATTTGTCTGTTTACTGTTCCTGTGGCCACCTTTAGTCTATAGAACTGCTTCAGAGATAAGTTTTAGGCTCGGTTCATACTACTGCAACCTGAAAGTCGTGACTTTGCCAGGCAACTTCTTGGTGATTTGTTAGCAACTTAAGCACGACTTTGATGCGACTTGATGAGTGACTTTCATGCCATGGACACAAGTCGGATAGAAGTCGACTTGAAGTAGTACAGGAACCTTTTCTAAAGTCGGAGCGGCTTCAGAAGTGCTAATTAAGAGAGCTCTCTGACGAGAGTGGAATTCCACATGCTGTGTAACTTGGGGTCTCACAAGTCATGGCAGTGTGAACAGAGCCTTAGCAGCCTATGAGAATGAATCTTTGTTTCCTGATGTGATACCTGCCGCTGGACTTAAAGCAAAACTGAAAGCAAAAAGCTGAAAACTGCGAACAGGCGGGCGTTTTATTGCAGAAGAGGCTTGCAATGTTTCTTCTGAAAAAAAATAAAACCTTACCTGCTTACTCACTTGGTAAGGAGTGATGTCCTTTCGCACCAGCCAATCAAGATGGCTGAAGACCGGCACCCGGGAGATGATGCTGGCGCGGCCTTCAGAATGTTGGATCATAGGTGAGTATTTGTGCCTTTAGTACCACTTTAACTCTTTGACTTGTAAAAGCATAAAGCAGGTTAGATTTGATTAAAAATTAAAGGATCAGAGAGAGGAAAGCATGGTTTTGGTACATCAGACTTTAGAACAGCATCAGACATTTCCCAATCTCTTCTTTTTCCATTCAACATGAAAAACCAAAATTGAAAGGACATCCGCAGTTTGGTCATTGTTTTTAGCACAGAAGGACCTAAAGAGCATTGCCTGTGTATATGTAGTTGTAGAAGTTGTCATCTGCGATGCAGTAACACCGGCTCTGCGATTTATTAAAGTGAGAAATTTCTTTTGCGCAGGAAAACAAAGCTCGCCAAATTAGACAGTTCCACTTTCATGGGTGGCCGGAGGTCGGGATCCCCACTGATGGGAAAGGGATGATTAATATCATTGCAGCTGTGCAAAAACAGCAACAGCAGTCTGGGAACCATCCCATCACTGTACACTGCAGGTGAGTACTGGTACTACTTCTAGCAGGTACCCCATCACTGTACACTGCAGGTGAGTACTGGTACTACTTCTAGGAGGTACCCCATCACTGTACACTGCAGGTGAGTACTGGTACTACTTCTAGGAGGTACCCCATCACTGTACACTGCGGGTGAGTACTGGTACTACTTCTAGGAGGTACCCCATCACTGTACACTGCGGGTGAGTACTGGTACTACTTCTAGGAGGTACCCCATCACTGTACACTGCAGGTGAGTACTGGTACTACTTCTAGCAGGTACCCCATCACTGTACACTGCGGGTGGGTACTGGTACTACTTCTAGGAGGTACCCCATCACTGTACACTGCAGGTGAGTACTGGTACTACATCTAGGAGGTACCCCATCACTGTACACTGCAGGTGAGTACTGGTACTACTTCTAGAAGGTACCCCATCACTGTACACTGCGGGTGAGTAGTGGTACTACTTCCAGAAGGTACCCAATCACTGTACACTGTGGGTGAGTACTGGTACTGCTTCTAGGAGGTACCTCATCACTGTACACTGCGGGTGAGTACTGGTACTACTTCTAGGAGGTACCCAATCACTGTACACTGCGGGTGACTACTGGTACTGCTTCTATGAGGTACCCAATCACTGTACACTGCGGGTGACTACTGGTACTGCTTCTATGAGGTACCCCATCACTGTACACTGCGGGTGAGTACTGGTACTACTTCTAGAAGGTACCCCATCACTGTACACTGTGGGTGAGTACTGGCACTGCTTCTATGAGGTACCCCCATCACTGTACACTGCGGGTGAGTACTGGTACTGCTTTCATTAGGTACTCCATTACTGTACACTGCAGGTGAGTAGCTGGTACTACTTCTAGGAAGGTACTCCATTACTGTACACTGCACTGGTACTGCTTCTAGGAGGTACCCTCATCACTTCCTGCTTCTTACTCTTTCTTCCTTTTCTTCCTCCTTCTTCCTTTTCTTCCTCCTTCTTCCTTTTCTTCCTCTTCTTCCTCCTTCTTCCTGCTTCTTCCCCTTCTTCCTCCTTCTTCCTCCTTCTTCCTCCTTCTTCCTCCTTCTTCCTCCATTTCTTCCTCCTTCTTCCTCCTTCTTCCTCCTTCTTCTCCTTCTTCCTTCTTCTTCCTTCTTCCTCTTCTTCCTCCTTCTTCCTCTTCTTCCTCCTTCTTCCTCCTCCTTCTTCCTCCTCCTTCCTCCTCCTTCCTCTTCTCTCTTCTTCCTCCTTCTTCCTCCTTCTTCCTCCTTCTTCCTCCTCCTTCCTCTTCCTCCTTCCTCTTCCTCCTTCTTCCTCCTTCTTCCTCCTGCTTCCTCCTGCTTCCTCCTTCCTACTCTTCTTCCTCCTTCCTACTCTTCTTCCTCCTTCCTACTCTTCTTCCTCCTTCCTACTCTTCTTCCTCCTTCCTACTCTTCTTCTTCTTCCTCCTCTTCCTCCTCTTCCTCCTCTTCCTCCTCTTCCTCTTCTTCCTCCTCTTCCTCCTCTTCCTCCTCTTCCTCCTCTTCCTCTTCTTCCTCTTCTTCCTCTTCTTCCTCTTCTTCCTCTTCTTCCTCTTCTTCCTCCTCTTCCCTCTTCTTCCTCTTCTTCCTCCTCTTCCCTCTCCTCTCTCGCAGTGCAGGAAACCACATGTGATTCAGGCACGAATCGCACCGCATTCCTTTTCAAATTAGATGTGATTTTTTTTTTTGCAGTGCAATTAGAGCCCATTCAGTTTATATGAGCTCAAATTGCTCTGTAATTGGTACTTGCTGGTAGAAAACTGGTATCGGTGCATCCCTACTTTTGATTATTAGTACTACTAGGAGGTACGCCATTACTGTAAACCATAAATGAGATGTATCACAATTTTTATTTATTTATTTTTTTACGTTTAAGATAATGCTATTGTAGATTTTTGCAGGATATGATATGCAAATAGTGATGTGAGAAGTGCCTAGGTGAAAGAATATGTAATCCCAACATTTCATATTCTGATATGTGCCTGCTGTACCATTTACTTGTATGAAAAAGTGTCCTGTAGCTGGGAACAGAGGGTATGTGATCACTTATAAAAAGGGGAAAAAAACTGAATGGGTTGTATTACACGGTGAGGGTTTACAATCATTTTTGATCATGATGTTTTCTTGTGCAGTGCTGGTGCGGGGAGGACGGGGACGTTCTGCGCTCTCAGTACTGTTCTGGAGAGGGTGAAAGCAGAAGGGATACTAGATGTCTTTCAAACAGTGAAAAGCTTGAGATTACAGAGGCCACACATGGTGCAGACACTGGTGAGTACCTTCTATATGCTTAGGTTCATTCAGAGGCTGTATAAAGTAAGTGGACATCTATAGACGTACCTTTTTGTGGCTATTAAGATTTTTTTTTTTCCGTTAAAATTTTTTATTTTTTTTTAACTTTCAGAATTTCTGGTTTTCAGAGCATTGACACTTTTCCCATTCACATAGTCACCTCTCTAGTGGTTTTCTGCTGCTCCTCTATATGAGTTGCAGCCACCGCCAAAATACCACTTCTGGTGTCAGAATTTTGTGGGGGGCGGTAATGTTGCCCCCATCTTTTGACAGTACTCAGGTTTAGCAGGTGGCCAGGATGCCTAAGCACTGCATTATTGTGGGAGGTACTTGCCCCCCCCCCCCATTATTGGAAGTTGTTTTGTGATGGAAGGATTTGGTCTGTTTTTTTTGTGGTGGAGATTGCAATAGAGATCACCTCTCTGAATAGGACTCAGTGAATGGTGAAGCCAGGACCAAGGTGGTAGCACAGGAACTTGCATGTTTCAAGCAAATCAATAATATCAGCTCCCACCTTTCCGTGCGGATGGCTGCTTTTAATTTCGGCAGTGAAATCAAGCCCATCAGGTTTTCAATTATTCTATCTTTGTACCTTGTTAGTGTGCTCTGAAATCTGCACTTGAATACCCAAGAATCCTGACAGCTGTGTTACCAATTAAAGTAGTAAGACACAAGGCGGTCTTCAAATTAAAGGAGAAAAGACGGAGCAGTTTGCTTTGCCATCCCCAACATGCCTTTTAGATGTGCTTGCTCTCTAAACAGTGCTTTGAATATGTATTAACACTGTTTGGAAATTTCTACATTTTCTATTACATCCTTGTAGTTAACCATTTGATTCAACAATTTGCATAAAGCAGAACTACAGTTAGATTTTATTCTTTACAATGCAGTGGGGCTGTACCTCTACTGCATTTGATCAGCTGCTCGATTTTTCTAGGGGTGAGGAAGAAGCTGATACTCACCTGACCCGCCGATCTTACGGAAATTTGTGTTCCTCCATGGTGGACTTTTCCTGTCTATGGCGCATGCATTGAGCGTGTTGACATCAGGAACAGTGCACTTACAAGACCCCTGAACCACGTGGGGGGGGGGGGGGGGGCAGGAGCCGACTAAGACTGGTCTTGTGCAGGGATGATCGACTGGTATATCTCTCCCCCAGAACAAAACGAGCATTTAACCTGTGCAGTGCTGGCACAGCCAGTGGCGGACTAACAACTCATGGGGCCCCTGGGCAATAAGGGGTCATGGGGCCCCTGTATCCTCGCCCACACTCAAACCACACCCAAAAAAGCCTATGAAAGGTACCAGGGGCTTCTCATGGGGCCCCCTACTGACCCTGGGCCCGAGTTTCCAAAATGGTCAGTCCGCCCCTGGGCACAGCCCTACTGCATGGGCAAAAAAGTATATATTTTCCCGGTTTTCTAGTTGCATGACGATTCCTCCAGCTCCCTCACCCCTTTTTCATCCACCTCTTTCCCCTTTGAAGTCAATATTGCGAGAACCACTTTTGGCAACACTATCTTATATGTCCTTTGTGGTAAGCTTTTACCAGCTGTTCATATGTTGATACTGCAGTTGTTGGTCCATTGTCTTGTCTAAATTTCTTTCAGGATACATGGGACATTCAAGTACTTAAGTTCACACATTTTAATTACATTGAGGTCAGGACTGTAACTGGGTCATATATGCGGATTGGATGTGGGGGGGGGGGCGGTCGTAGAGGCTGGCACTGTGTGGAAGCATTCAGGAGGCAGCACTGCTGCCTGAATGCTTCCACCTGACAGGTGATGTCTGCTATTTGCCCGCAGCAGGGCTAAAGGTAGAAAAAAAAACTACGTGCCCAGTGCCGGAACTACATGTGTCGGGCGATAGGAATCCAACATCCCTGTGTATAAATGTGTGGTATCTTAATGCTTAAAGCAGTTACAAAGTACAGTGATCATCTTTACAAATCTGATTTAGCAAGAACTCCCTGACTTCAGGACTTTGATATCTTGGAGTTCGATATCTGCCCTCTAAGTTGGCATCATATCGTTTTATGCTAAGACCAATGAACTTAATGTTGGATATTCTCATAGCAGAGAATCTTTGACCACTGTATCTAAAGTAAAAGCAGTATGTGTTGGCTCATCTAGCACAAATTCAGACTGGCACTGGAAAATGACAGTTGGATAAAGAAACCAACATGTATCCTGGTTGGTTGATCAGAAGTGGAGTCTTAAGAAGCCGAGAGATCTCGTCTATCTCACTGCTGTTCTTCAAGAATCCAGCCTGGATTTCCCATTAGGAGACCCCTTCCCAATCTGCCGGAAAGTTCTTTTAGAACATTTTCCCCTCTTGTGTTTATGCTGAATAGTTTTTTTACATTACAGATATATTTATTTAAAGCCCTAATAAATATTCTGCAATTTTTACTGTAAAAATTTGTTTTTTTGTTTTTTTTTTTTCGTTGTACAACAGCAAGGTTTAAAATATCCTGTGCTGGCAGCACACTGTAGAGTCAGAACCTTCATCTGATACCCAATGCAGTGGTCTGGGTACCCAGAGGTCCAACACATTCTCCCTACACAGTGCTCCTATTACCAGCATGCTTGCTCCTTGAGCAGCAGACCTAGACCAATGTGTTTGGGTGTGAGCGCGGCAGTCTGACTCCCCAACGTGCTGCCAGCACCGGGTATTCTTAAACCTTGCTGTATCACATAGTATGTCAGAAAAACTGTATGTGAAGCCCAACTGCATTATAGTAATAAATGCAGAAGGTTCAAAATACTGAACATAAATATTTAAATCGTAAACCGTGCATATAGCTAATTATCTCCTATTTTCTCCCACCCCCCGCAGGAGCAGTATGAATTCTGCTACAGAGTGGTTCAGGAATATATTGACGCATTCTCGGACTACGCCAACTTCAAATAAAACCAAGGGCAGGACACAACCGTGGCCTTTAATATTTTGTAATATTCTATTTGTTAATATATCTAGACCAGTGTATATATCTTAACTGTTTTAGAGGACTGGTACAATGTGCTTTATATTAGCTGGAAATTTTATATGTAGCAAAGTGATTAGTGCGAACAGACATTTTTTTTATTTGAATACAATAGCTGGATGTTTGGATTTTTTTTTTCTATTTTTTTTTTATTTTTTAATATCATCACTCTCCTCATGCATTTGCTTAGACCCGTGGTCCATCCCTAACATGACGAGAAAAGCCTTTGTGGAATGTTCTAGATAGACTCATGGGAAGCACAGCCGTCTAAGGTTTACTGCCATTCTGAGCGCTTTGACTGAATTTATTCTGTAAATAAATATATAAATAGAAAAAAAATATATCATAGATTTTTTTTTTGTATCAAAAGTATATATAAACATATTAGCCTTGACATGATTGCTACACAGCTGTAGGCCTTGTTTTCTGCAGATGGGACCTTGGGCTGACAAATGCCTCCGCAGTGTGAAAGGAGGTAAAGAGGCCACTTTGGATACTTTGGAAATGGCTTTTTGAATATTTTTTTTTTTTCCATTATGTAAGATTTTCTGCTCTGTGATACATACCGACTATACATTCCAATCTATCAAAACTAGCTCAAATTCTTTGACTATATGGCTGCTAGAGCAACTTTAAATTCATTCACACCAGTGGTCTCCAACCTGCACCCCAGGCACCGGATGTGGTCCTTTTGTTTGCCTTTATATAGATTTTGGGGCACTATTCCACCAACTAACACCATTAATGGGGCACTATTCTTCCCATTGATACCAACAATTGAGCACTACTCCTTCCATTAAAACCAATTATGGTTGTTTAAGCCCACTGATGCTGGAGCTTTTTCTAATCCCACTGGCCACAACCTGGCCCCCACTAAAGCCTGAAGGACAGTAAAGTTTGCTTTAAAAGTTTGGAGAACCCTGATCTACACAATTCCACAACAATTGTTTCTGTTGTCTGCACATTCATTATATGGGTTGACATAATGATCATGAGAACATGGCCTGTTCGTATTTAGGATGCTAGTGATTTAAGTGATCTTTACCTAGATTTGATTTATAAATTTGGTGCCCAGTGAAGTGGTGGTTAACTTTGTAGGGCTTTATTTTATATTTACCGCTAGTAGCCCTAAAATACCTGCCTTCGCAGAATTTACGGACCAATTATTAATGCATATTTGACCATAGCACACAATGGATTCACAGAATTACTGGTCACATTCTGAGCACTGAGCCCTGAAGATGGAGCCTAATATATAGGACATGTTCCAAAAGTCGGACAAGGTCTCAATGTGGATGCAAACATGGATATGTTGGGTTGATTTCACTGGTCAAGCTTACTAAAACGGCTGTCCTAAGGCTTACCTTAATAAAGGTCTGTGTTCCAATGATCTGCTCTTAACGTGGCCCTCACATGAGCCTCCATGGATATGGTCTTACCAACAAAATGGCTCTAGGATTTTACTGAGTGTATAGGCAATATTCTAATGAGCATTTGCCAACCCAGAAAATGGCCCCCCTTTCAGAATTCATAGCTTCTGTTGCAGTGAATGTTGGTCTTTCAAACCAAATAGTTGAGATGTCATAGCTTGTAGACCCCATTCTAGTCAGGCCATCAATAACCGCTTTCTCTACTGTGTAGACAACAGTTTACTGGGAACCACATCTAATATTGTAGTGTTGGGAATTCTGTTGGCTAAGCCTGGAAGCTGCAATCAAATGCCTGGATTGAGGAGTTGCCATGTTTTGTCAAGAGAACAGCATTTAAGTGCAAGTGGAACTCCAGCTGAAACTTTTAATTCTATAATTTTTTTTTTTTTTTTTTTTTAGTATTCTGTATGAGGTGGTGAAGGTTTAGAATCTCTGGCAGGCTTTGTATTGCTGTGTGCTTATTGACATGTTTCCTCACCTCTTTTGTGACACTGGAACAAGAAGTTACTGGAAATCTCTCCAACACGGACAAATAGAAAAATAACCAAAAACACTTTTTTTTTTTTGTTGGAAAATTTGATAAAGGCCAGAAACTTGGATTTTTTTTGTTGTCCCTGTTGTATATTTCATCTCAATTTCTGTACCTGTGATCATGTTGTCACCTACACAGAAAATTCCAGATTTTCCCAATGGACCCACTAACGGCAATGAAAAAAGGGGCAGAAAATCGAATTCTTCAGCTCAAATTCAAATGTTCTAAAAGATTTGCCGGAAGTTACTCTTTTTAGATATGGTGACTGGTTCCATTTTCTAAATTGGTCTGTTTTAGTTCTTAAAGCATTTGTCTGGGCTGAATCCAAAATGAACATATTTAGTATCTTTCTGTAATTCTTATACATTTCTCGATGATTTATGCCTTTAGTACAGAACAAAACTTTTGATATACCAGAAATCCAGTGAGCTCCTAACTTCGCAGTATTGAGCTGACAACTTGGTGCCTCCACTGAAATCTGAGACTGTGTTGTCAGCCCTGCTTGAGTTCTGTGCTGGACTACAGAACACCCTGTCCCTCTCATCTCCTTAAGCAGAAGGTGTTCTGTAGTAAGGCAGGGTGGACCTCTTGGGCAGGGCTAATGACAGCTCTTGGTATTTCAGTGCAGCAGAGTTGTCAGCTGCCTAAAGGAAATCTGGAGCTCACTGGATTTCTGATAAATAAACGGGTATTTTTTTTTTTCTATTTTCAGTGTCCTTGGAGATGGGGAAATTTGCACGGATTGCAGACATGTACATATTTTTTTTTTGTATATGGCCCAGACATACACTATAAATGTATAGAACATCACACTAAAATGCAAACACATCAGACCTTGCTAGTCCAGTGTACTGGCCTCTTTCATTACAGCTTTTCCAATACCGTCTTTTTAAGTTATCACCAGTTAGCTGCTCTTTCTGCAAATTCTATGTAGAACCTTCAACCAAAGGCCTTCCTCACTACTAACACTTATTACTGATCATTAGGCACCTGGACTGTGTGGATGGTTTACATGAACTGGGTTTGATTGCCAGTATTCCAGTGCCATCTTGTCTCCGCTATACAATAGATGGGATTTGCAGGCACAGAAATCTGTTTAAGGGCGTTTTCTCACCTCTCAACCAAAGGAGTAGGATTTATGCACAGGGGGCTTGCTAGAATTCTCCATGTCATAACAGATTTGGTGTGCACATGTTAACTAAGAGAAACACTTAAAATTGTAGAAAACTACAAGTTCTCTAGAAAGTTATTCTGTGCCTTTTTCCTTTTCCTCCAAGTCTGTACTTTGAGACAGGGTCCCCTCTGTGCAGTGAGGTTCTCACCTTGACTCATGGCCCAGAGCTGCCTAGTAAAGCCCTGGGGAGGTAACACAAGGAAGCCTTTTCTATCCCTGTGCTGTTAGGGCAATATCCAAAATTGCAGTACCAGCCATGATGGAAGAGGTGGGGCTTATCGGTGGTAATGAGGAATGTTCTTTCTCCCCCATCTCTTTTTGTGTAACACAAGGGGGAAGCGAGTGAGAAGATGCCTATGTCAGCATTGCCTAAGCATCCTCTGCTGTGAACCTGTACACTTTTTTTGTGGCACCTTATTGTATGTTTAGTTTTAATTTCTTAAATTGTCTTATACTGAAAGTATCATTGATGACAATAAAAAGAAAACCCAGTGACATTGTACAGAATTTTGGTGGGCTGTCCTGATTTCTCCAAAAATGTTAATTTCTTACATGTAAGATTTTTACTGTGAAAAGTAGTGAAAATGCTTCCTAGCAGCAGCCCAAAATCTGCCTGGCGTTTTCATGTTCTCCCTGTGCCTGTGTGGGTTTCCTCGGGTACTCCCGTTTTCTCCCACACTCCAAAGATATGCTGATAGGTTAGTTGGATCCTGTGTAAATTGGCCCTAGTATGTGTATGTATGAATGTGAGTTAGGGACCTTAGACTGTACGCCCCTTGAGGGTTAGGGACTGATGTGAAATGTACAATATATATATGTATGTGGGTGTGTAAAGTGCTGTGTAAATTGACAGCACAATATAAGTACCTGTAATAATACACACTGCAATGCATCTTGCTGCTTCCTTCCTTGGCAACTCCGGGCAAAAAAAAAAAAGTTTGTTTTCCCATGCAGTCATGCTGTACCTGCACTGCACGGGTCAACTGCACGTTTTGTCTAGGAGTGAAGTTTCTACTCACCTGATCCTTCAATCCTTCAGAAAAACCGTGTTCCCCCATGGTTCTGCATTGGACTGTTCCTTGTCTATGGAGCCTGCTCTGGGCTTGATGACACCAGGAACAGTTCACAACTCAAGACCACTAGAGTCTTGATCAGGAAGGATTGGAGGATTAGGTAAGTATATCTCCTTTCTTCTCTCCCTTAGATTAAAACGAGCAGTTATTAACCTGTGCAGGGGAGGACCTTTTTTTGGCCAGAGTTGGGCTTTAATTAAGCTTTTAAAGCTTCTCAAAATCCAAGAACAAATATGTACACCACAGGCACTGGTTCTTAGATAGTTATAGTTTGCTAAAGTTGTAGAAAGAAACCAGTCCATCCAGTTCAACCTGTGTGCGCATGTGTCATGTCAAAAATCACTGTCCATATCCCTGTATATTGTGTTCGTTAAAATACTCATCCAAGAGGTTTTTTTTTTTTTAAAACTATCAGTACTTCCCGCTGACACTACTAATTGTGGAAGTGAGATCCACATCTTTACTGCCCTGACAGTGAAAACCCCCTACGCAGTTTAACGTTAAACCGCTTCTCCAATTTCATTGAGTGGCCAATGGTTTATCATCATCCATTGAGGGACAGAGAAAGATAGTAATTCCCAGACATTTGGGATATACTGCCTACTTCAGGAGGTTGGGACAATGGCAAACAAAAGTTAAGCCAGCCCCCATATAACCCCTCCAGCTGTCATGCCTCATTTTTATGATGGTTCTAGGAGATTGAAGACCTTTCCTCTAC